CAGCGTGAGGTGTGTGTGTGTTGGTCAAAGATCAAGGCTGCTGGTGGTCCTGAGAGATTAAAAATGTTTTATGTGATGGGAATTGAGGCGACCACCATGCCCCAGTTCATGCTGTTGGATATACATTTTACTTTATATCCATCAATGTTAGAATGAATAAGCACACACGGAGAAAGTATTATGACCATTTAACTTTTTTTTTTTTACATTTTGTTCGAGTAAAAGTAGGTTATTTTGTGTTTTGAAAAAGTGGATGTGTTTAAATATATACATAAACCAACGTGTGTCTACACTATGTATTAATCACATTATTGGGACACAAATCTGTTCACACCATAACATGTGGGGAATTACCTGACATTGGGGGGTTGGGGGGGGGTGTCAGGTCCTATGTATAGGACTAGAATTAAGACAAAATTAGGGTTTGTGTTGAGGTTGGGCATGTAGAAGCCTCCAGTAACTTACATACATACAAAAAAGAAGTAGTTTGGCGTGTGTGTTTGTGAGCACTGGTGTGTGTACTTTTGTCAGATACGTTGTAAATAGATACTAATATAAACTGCGGATGTCTGATCCAGACTATTCACAGGTCATTAACCTCTCTGCTTTTGTTGCTCTGAACACTCGGTATGAGGTTGCAGACTGAAACTTTCTGAGAAGTAAATAAATAAGCAAGTAATGACAGTGTGTGGGTGTCCTGATTCCTTATAGCTTGTTTTTCTCTGCAAAAGCACCTGTTACAAACACCTTTACTTTTGAGTGCAAGACCGTCTATTACTCTTCTCTAACAGACTTTTCCAGGACAAGGTGATGATTTTTTTTTTTTTTTTTCTGTAGTAATAACAGCTCTTTCTTAGAAATTAACTGAAGCATAACTATGTAATTAGTATGAGCATGAGCAAAATTACAAGCCTAAAACCACTGACACTGGTGGAGGATTTGCTAGCCACTGTTCAAGTGTTTACATTTAACAATGAATAAAAGCAACTGTCCAGGGGCTGTTAAATTAACAAACAAATGAATAACAATTACTGCAAATTGTGGTGGCTCAAGCATTCACACTGCAATAATCTGTCAACAGTTCCTCGACGAATGAAATATCATGTAGCTACCAAATTCTCTCTGCCCTTCTTAGTTAAAATGAATTGTTTGAAAAAAATATTTATTATCGTCTGCTGCTTTGAGGTCAATCCAAAAATATAATTATTCTTTTGGATATTGTCACAGGAAAACACTCTCTTTATCCAGGATTCTGCAGCTGATGAACAGTGTCGTGACATTCAGGTTGTCATGTTATTACAGACGCCACAAACCTCTTTCTCCGACGTTCCTGCAGAGCAATCTTTTTGACATTGTCGAAGCAAAGGTCAAGATTCCACGCGCTGTCAAGCATTCACCCTCGCCACTTGGCTGAGGTCTGGCAAGATTAATTCTTTGTGTCTTGCCGTCTCTCTATGTGCCAGGTTCATCTTTCTTACAATGCAGCCAAGCAAACACTGGAGAAAAAGTGTGTGCCTGGAAGTGTGTGTGTGTGTGTTTGTGTGTGTGTTTTTAAAAGACATTGGTGCAACCGTTTTAACAGGGCGACTCTGTTTGAATTAGATGTTCTAAACCCCCGCTTGCTAAATGGATTTCTGAAGTGGCTGTAGTTGGAGGCTTTCAATCGGATGCAACCTTGAGTCCTTTTTTATGTGAGCTCTGTAGGATTTAAGTGCCGGTATAACATGAGCACGACTGAATGCATGCTCCTCATTTTTTGAAATTGAAAAATCTCCAAAGGCTCTCCCCATTGTGCAGGCAATTAATGGAATGCTGGCAGCGAGGTTCAGGTGCTTAAAAGTTGTATTTTTTTCTCTCTCTCTCGCTCTCTTTTTAATGACTAAAAAAGGATAATCATCATGGAAAAAAAACATCATAATGCTGTAGGCTTACTCTTTATGCACAATGATGTATAATGCATGCTTTGAAATGAAACGGCAGCGGCCTTCGAACCATTCCATCTCCAAACCTTAGTGTATTTGTTTTGCATGCCACAGTGAGGCTTTTGCATAACAATAGTGAGTGTTCCCATTAACAATGCTTGCCTATTAATTTGATCTTTACATTTTTAAAGTTTGTCCATCAGGCCGCCAAACAATGGGTCCCCCAGTCGCTGTTTGGTATAAGTGATTAGAAAGTTGGCTAATTGGCTCTCTGAAGAGTTGTGATGTTTCCTTTTAGCCTTCCAGTTCTTCATCTGTGAGCCTCTATCAGGTTTTAATTCTCAAAAACAGATAAATAAACCATTTTATTCATCAGTAAAGGGTTAGAGTTTATTTTCCCTCGGTTTTGGAGATCATGTCCCAATCATGTTTAGACAAATTGTAGCGGATATGTTGAGAAATTAGGCAAAATATAAATAAAGTGTCACTTGACACCAGTGACACTTAGTTTTACGTAAATGCTTATTTATGAAATCAACACCAGATACTCAGATATCAGTTTGATTTCAGTTTGTGTTCTGCTATATGATAAAATCTTTTTGTACGAGTAATTGCTGTAAACTTTGCCAGTGCCAAAAATAGCTTTGTCTCAGCTTCCCGGAACTAATGAACTAGTACCAGTAATAACTCACGGTCACTCTCTAATGAACGTCAGGAGGGTGGTCATTGCGTGCAACATACTTGCAAATTGATTTCCTCAGTGGAGGCAGCGCTCATTCTGATTGTGTGCTTTTATGTGATAATGTTTAAATGAGCAACAATGACGTTCATAATCCAGTACTTTGTGTTTATTCAAAACCTGTGGCAGTTGCTTGGAAAAAAGTAAAGAATTAAGATTTCATATGAACTAAATGATGTGTCCATATATTCCATATACATTAAGAAGTCACTGATGCGGTTTATCATTACTGATGAATCCACTGAAGACAGGTTTTGCCACTATGTGGCGCTGAGTGGGCATTCATTTTATTTACACTGGTTGTGTTTTTTCTCAGGCCTCCTGGGCCTCCAGTCCTGCCTGAAACTGGACTGAATACCAAACTGACTTATTCCAGTGTTCAGTTGCACCTTTTCTTGCAATCTTGGAACACTTCCAAAAGCTTTTGTTTTTTCTTGTGCCCTCAATCTCTTTCTCTTTGACTGCGCTTTGACAATGCAGGGAAACATACAAGCGCATCTCGGTAAACACGAGTGATGTGGTTCCAGAGTTTAAAAGCTTCACATAACACTAGCAGACACAACTTGGGGCTGTTTGTGTGATGGAAAGGAAAACTTGTTTAGAAACTGACAGCACTGCATCTGTGTGTGTGCGTGTGTGTGTAAGAGAGACACAGAAAAACTGTGTGTTTATGTTGCTTTTGGCAAGTTATTCATTTGTGCTTTTTTTTTTTTTTTCTTGCTCTCTGTGTGGTTATCTTTTGAGTTGGTCGGTTTGGAGCTGATGTCCACCTTCGGGGATGCGCATAGCATGCATTTCTGAGTATTTTCACCTGAGGCTGCACTTGTTAGAGTCTGTGGATAAATGTATATACATTATTTATACAAATTCAGGGCGAGTGAAAGCAGGTTTAACACATTTACAGACAGGAGGCCAGGCACTGCAAGCCAAGCTCCAAGTGAGGATTGCAATGCTGCGCGCCAGGGATCGAGCTGGCCTCTTGCCCGGCTGTGACCTGCATCCTTAATGCTGAACGAGAACACTGCTAACATTATCATCAACACCTCAGCCATCGAATGATCCCTCATATCATTTGCTTCATGTAGAAAAAAAAAAAAATGTAAAAGGAGTTTGGTTTGTCATTATATTTATAGAAGACATTTAAGAAACCTGTTGGCTATCACTGCTGGATTTTGGCTTTCTAAAAATTTGAAAAAGTTAAAAGACTGCTGCATATGTTGGATTACAGAAACAATGTCAGCAGTTTTTGCTGCCCTCTGATCTTTAGGATTGAGTTTTCAGAGACTTTATATTATTACACTTGGGAAACCTTTTAGCAACTTGTTTATTTCATAGGTGAAAGATTTACATTTATCCTGAACATGTATGTATTGCATATTAAACAAATGATTAAAAGACATGAATGTACCGGAGAGTGGGAAAGGGGGAAGGCAGTTCCTGTGTTACAGGTGGTTGCAGGTTGGGTCATAGAAAAGAAATATGACTGTGCTGCTGCTGAATCTAATCCGTCATGTTTTGTATAATATGAAATACCCAAAAAAAAGAAGAAAATTATGAATTTGTTCGGTAATAATTCCATGTATTTTTTTTTTTTTTTTTTTACCAAACTGTACCTGTAAACGTCTTTGGATAATTCATCAACATGATGCCAAAAATCACTTTGTAACAGTAGAAATGTGAGAAATGTGTTTCAATAAATGATGGAGGTCTAATTTGTAACACTAACATTTGTGCTGTTGAAGGTTGTGGGAGTAGTGGAGTCAAAGGTTGAGACAGAGTGAACAAAGCTGCTCTTTAAATTTTAATTGCTTTTCATGTGAAATAGTTTTCAGCATTGGGCTTGAAGACCTTAATTCAGGTTAATTAATTTGCTCAACAATAATTGAAGGTTTGATTTTAAAACATATACATACACTATTATGCCATTTCATCAATTCACATTTTAAATGTAAATATTGCAAATATAACAGGCAATTTGTAGCACGAAAATTCAGATGAAAACGATATGCAGACACTAGAGTCAAAGGTAGTAAAGTTTAATGTCAGGCTTTATCCTTCTGAAACACTGATCCAATTGGAAAAAATCCCTAATGAATCATGAAGGAAATTTAAAACAACGTAACAATAAACCAAGACCCTATATTTAAAGACATTTCAGTGTAATTCAACTAGTTACAGGCTTTAAAAAAGGTATCCCTCAAATCTAAGGACACATTAATTACAGATACTGTATTCTGTAATTTAACTTATGTCTTTTCCAACATCTACCAGTGTAAATAAATACTGTTTTTCCTAATTTGACTTGATACCCCACTTACTCATCCCCTTATCCCATCCAGGAGCCTCCTCCCCCAGAGGTGGATGCCTTGCCAGCTGGTTGTAGTCTTCATGTTCCCATGGAGCTGGAGTTTACAGCTTCCTGTTTCCCTCGCAGCCCTGCGCCTCAGAAAAGCTATGGCCTCGTCTACGTTGACTGACCTGGCTGGTGACGGTGATTGTAGTTTTGATATTGTGATTCATTTTTCAATCAGAGTTGGTAAAATGTTGTCTTTGTATTATAGCTCCTTTTTCACCTATGATGATTGTAGAGATGCAGGAATGTTTGGTACAAGTGTGTCCAAATAGAGTGCTGCATACTGTAGTAGTGTTTTTAAGTATTTTCAGTGATCTAGGGCTCATCCTGCCTTTAACGCTTATTTTAAGATGCGCTGGATAATAATATATCATAAAGCCTTGAATAAAACTTAATTATTATTTTTTTTAAGTTTTCACTAAAAGTTTATTGATTTTTGCATTTGATATAATTGTATGTTTTTCATTGTGTAATCTCTTTCATGGCTTTACTTGCTGTTTGCTTGTGAAAGCGTTGCTGTATATAGTCCAGTTAAAGTGTGCGGTAGTACTGCAGTGTGGTACATGAACTGAGTAATGGGGAGTACTTGTGATCCATTATTGTGAGATACATATCATGTAACTGTGATGTCCCTGGTTTTATTCAAGTGGACCCCCCCCCGTCAAACTATCAAATAAATACCAGAATGGCATGGAAGTAAAATAAGATGAAGCAGAACAGCTGAATTATATTGTGCAGCGTATTTCGTGATTCTGCCTGTGTACACAAGAAGGAATATGTCCACAGACAAAATGCAATTAAAGCCCTTTACCTAATATACACTTTTCCTTAACTCTCCTAGTGTGTTACTTTGCAGAGTTGAGATGTCAACTATCAAATAAAGGCCAGAATGGCCTATAAAAGGAGAAAAAGAACAAGTCATAGTTTTCTGTATATCGTTTGTTGTTTCTGCTCATGAGGTTTGTACAGTAGAGAACATATCTACACAGATTAAAAACAAAATCACAATGAATTTATAATCCGGATCTGATGCTGGTCACAAGACAAAACGTCTTTGAAGAACAATGTCCCAAAGACAATACAATTTCAGAACTGGAGTACCTATTATTTGAATTTTCTTTACACAACATATATTAAGGAACAACAAGATTCTCTATAGAATCATACATTTCAAAATTTGCATATCACTTGTCAAGTCACGCCAATTTTATTTGTATAGCCTAATATCACAGATAGCAGATTTACCCGAGGGGCTTTATGATCTGGGGATTTTCTCATTCCTACTAGTTTTACTGTAATGTTATTCAAGCGATGTTGGAGTTCTCCCACAAAAAAAACACATGTAATGGAACTGGACTGTTAGTGTGCGCAGGAAGCGAGAATCTGGTGTTATAAGCATAATAATTATTTATTGAAATATGAAGAAAAATTCCGTTAGCCTCAGAGAGACACCCCCCCTGTACAGGGGTAGTGAGAGGGGCAGTCAGAATGTCAGCAGGAGGGAGGGGCAAGAGTCATAGACAAGCGGGAGGGAAACAGCATTTTGATGCATTGTGTGTCCATGTGTTGACAGTGTACATGAGCATGTGAATGTAGTCATTGTTTAAGTCCGTGTTAAAGCATTGTTCCTGCCTACAAGTCCGTCCCGACAGTTAAGCTATGGATTGGTGTGTTGTAGAGCTAAATTTAAATTCTCTTTAACTTCTGACAGCTGAAGTTACAGAAATTATTTCTCCAAGCTTTTACCAAACTTCAGAGACTGCGGTAGTTCCACCAAACATGCAGTAACAAAATGGGACTTCTGCAATGACCACATCAATGTGCATGACTGTATTCACTCGTATGTTATAGGAAGTCCAAGGCAGCTGCAGAACCTAAACATAGAATTTGAGGAAGTGGGTGATAAAAGATTGTCTGATCATAACAAGTAATGGAGGTGTGAGGAAATTGAGCTCAGGACCAGGAACTGCTTAATGACATGGGATTTAAGTGATTTTTTCTGTACATTAAACATGCCATTGAAAGACTTCTGATCATTCACTGACTTAATTGACAAAATGTTGACAGGTAAACAAATAAACACCACAGGTTGTTGTGGGAGGCAAGTGTTGGGACAACAGTAACAACAACTACTGTACATGTGAAAAACTCCACATGAAAATAATTTAGGGTGCCATGTTTTGGGGGGGGGGTTGTTCATTTTGGACACATTACTAGAAGTCACAGCTCACAGCCAGAAAGATGCAATCTTTGGTACAAGAGCAAACTGGACAGCACAATGATGCAGGTTGAAATTAAGTAAGAAAAACTGATGTGGCACAAACATCTTTCACACCTACTCGCTTAAATACAATACTCTTTTCAATGTACACACTTGCATAAACATTTAAAAAGACCAGAGAAATTGCGGTGTTTTTTTTCTTTTTCTTTTGGATAGCCCATTATTTTGCTCCAGACCTGCATCTCCGAAGTACTTGTGGAAACAAAACAAGAACATGCTACAGTAAACAAATTTATTCTGGTGCGGACACCTCACGTCATGTAACACATAGATGGAAACCCAGAGACGCAATAAATTATCTTAATTTTTAAGCGTAACCAGTGACATACTGTACATCAAAAAGGTAAAAGCACTGTAAATAAAAAAAGAAAAGAAAAGTCTACAAAAAAGGTTGAATGTGAAACGGAACCCTTACACAGAAATGCTTAAGAAACAAATGTTTGAATGCCAGCAGACACAGATAAAAATGTATATCTTAAGTGTGATTCCTTTGTGATTTTAGTGTCTCACGACATAATTTAAGTAGGCTACTGCTCAAAACAAATAAAAAATAAAACACTGTACACGCACCAAAGAAAGCAAACCAGAGGGATCTTTTTTTTTCTTTTTTTTTTCATTTCATTGATTTCATTTTTTAGGAAATCATTGCTTTGCAATTTATGCTTCATCACAGTTCTCTCCCATATGACCACATGAATGTAAACACCTGTTGAATTATTCTTTTTTAAATTTTTACAACATTAATACTTTATATATATATTTGTACATATTTCCATTCACATCTGCACGGTTAGCTAGCATGGTAATGAAATAAGGCAAGACTCACATAACTGTGACATCACAAATCTTTTTTTTTTTTCTCTTATAATACTGATTATTAAGGTTTTTGTAATTTCCTTCTTCTGTTCTGCAGCAGGCTTTGGTCTTTCCGGACAAAGGCAGGGTCGATCCTCCTCCGTCTCCAGAATCACACTTTTGTTTTTGTTCCAGTTGTAATGAAATAATAAAAAGGGAGGGTGTTTTTTGCAGGAAAAAAGGGCTATAAATACAATTGTTTCAGCTGACATTATTAATTGAATTTATTTAACACTGGTCTTTCTGAGGTACATAGTTTAAAATGATTCAGGGAGGTGGAATAAGAAAGGGAAACCACAAGGTGACCATGAGAAGCAAATGACTTCCATTACAAGAGAAAAAAAAACATCTTATTTTTCTTCTTATTGGCCTATTTATCATTTTGTTCATCAAAGAATGTTCCTTTTTTAGACCTTCATTTTTTTAACCATCAGTTCTACCTTTTCAGTCAGGTCAAGCTGCCGTGGCAGGTGTCTTATGTGAATTCAAAAAACAGACATGACAGTAGGTAAGAGTCTCTGGCCTGTCTGACTGCTTGTCCGTTTGTCTTTACAGTACCAACGACAGCTAAAAGCCGGTTTCAGTTTCAGAGCACGCCGGAGGATCGTCGACCAAAATAAGCCACCGCTCTAGTCACAAAGCTGAAAGATGGCTGGTGTTTCTCAGCTTCCTTCCTCAGCACAAAAAGCCTCTCACAGTGTCACCAGCACTAAAACACTCAAGGGTTGTTAATTCTTTAAGTTGCAGCCTGCCAGTCTTAGTAGTCTGGGCTAGCGCAGATGATTACATCCCATCACGAAGTGTCAAACGCAGTGTTCGTTTCAATTGTCTTGCTTTTTTCCTTTAAGTATTGTCTTTGTGTGGTTGAGGAGAAGCGGCTCTTCTTTCAGACTTTTTTTTTTTTTTTTAGAATAAAGGGATCCATTTGTTCTTGGTGTGTGCGCATGACACCGTCAAGTCTGAGCTAGAGGTTCAGTTTGGTGAAAGCATTATTTGGAGTTTCTGGGCTGCAGCAAAACTCTCAGGATGTCTGCACAACTGCACTGTGGGTAGTGCAGTCCCCTCCTAAGCTCTCTTGGCATGTAGCATTTCAATGAGAAGGTTGTTGCAGGGAACATCGCCGTTCAGGTGTTTGTAGTAAAGGTATTCTTCGGCCTGCAGGCTGATGGCTCGGATCTCCGGCAGCCGGAGAAGCAGCTGGCCAAACTTGTCCGTTTGCTGCGGGTAGTTACACATGACGTAGTCCAGCAGCGCTGCATTCACCTGCTCCTGGACGCTTTCTACCAGGTGGAAGTTCTCCAGGTTCTTCACATCTACAACAAGAAGCGGAAAAAAGGTTAGATCAGACGACACTGGAACAATCTCTGTGGGGGCTGAGAAGCATAAGAACAAAGTAATGAAAATAATAATAACCTGTTAGGGTTATATTGACTCCACAAAGGTAATTGTGTGCACTACCACACTAAAAATCATGTTTATTAAAATGAATTTCTTTTCTCAATTAATGTTCTAGCAAACATTTGAATATCACCTGCCTTTATGTCTCATGTTATGTCAAATTACAACTCAGAAACTATTACTCAAGACTCAAGTTTTAAAGTGCCACAGTATCCTCAATTTGTAGATAAATTAAGGGGCCATAATGGTTCCTATAAGAAAAAAACAAAATGGTTAGAACAATGGGTACTCTCATTTATCAGGGGACAGTGCTACAACTTGACATCTTTGGTTGTGACTTATTTTTCTACTTTAAAGAGCACTTCAAACTGCACTGCATGACGAAATAGCCCCACTACTCTCCTTCCTTTCTCCTCTGAATCATCTCTTGAGACTGCAATGTAGCGGGAATCGGGTAAAAAGGTTCTCCTCCTGAGAGATTCGTTCCCCAGGAGTCCATGAATTATGTAGGGCAGAGTTACAGTCATATTAGCGCCAGAGTTGCTCCTTAACCTAACGCCTTCACCATCTTTTTATATAATAAAAAAACAGAATGTGTTGTAATTGTTAGTGAATTTTTTTAAGCATCAGTCTTGTGAAAAACTACAGGGTGCAATAAAAGTGCAGGAATTCTTTTTTTAAATCTTACTATTAATTCCTTGTGCAAAATACATTTTGCATCTTTCCAAAATCCTACCTTTACGCACAGCTATAAGCACTTTTCCTTGACAATAATAAGCTCACTGGGGGTTTGAGCAGATTATTGCAAGACAAGACAAAAATTTGCTAAATGGATAATGGTGGACCAGAGCGCTGTGTGTACTTGTCATGATTATGAAGCGCAGGGCTGCAGAATATTTAATCAGATAGCAGAGCTGTGTGTGTATATGAGTGAGTGTGTGTGTGATCTTTTATTAATCTGTTTGACCCCAGGTCGAGTGTGCTCACAGCGGGCTAATGTGGAATGACAGAGTCCCTGTGTATAGTTGACACCTCCAGACCAGTACACACTAAAATATACCATCTTTCGCACCAGATCTCAGGCTTTCTCTCAGACACACACGCACGCACACTCACATGCGCTGACAATAATCCATGGAAATACACATAATATTTCTTTCTCTCACAGTATCCCGTTCCCACACACACACTCACACATACACCCCATCTACCCACCCAAAGCATTAGGAGGAAGGGGGGGGAGATAAATCAGCAGCTAATGAGGTCTAGAGAATGAGAAGCAGGTCCTTCAAGGCACTTCCATCTATGATGCACTCTACCATGCTATTACAATCTGTATGTGTGTGTGTGTGTGTGTGTGTGTGTGTGTGTGTGTGTGTGTCTGTCTGTCTGTCTTTTCTTGTGTTGCCTGTGTATGTATGAGCTGGCGTGTAGCGTGTGCATGCTCACCCTGACCTCTGGGTGACACGGCGGGGGGCTAAATAAGGCCAAGAGGAGGGCAGGAAAAGGGGGGAGGGGTGTGGCCTGTGACAAAGGAGGCTCCAAACAAACATGACATGTGCTTTTTCCTGCTGCCACTCAGCTGTCTGACCCCCTATCGCACTCCTGAACCGCCTTTCACACTACCAACACCTCAGAGAAGCATTAATATGGCCTTACATAAGCTACCCCAATAGTAGAGTATGGGCTTTAGGCTTTAACACACAGACGTCCTACGCAGGTCAACAAGAGAAACAGACTTGTTTTCATCTGCACATTAAACAAAAACATGGAAAGAGGAGTTTCTGAGTTGCTGAGAGAGTCTTAAATATGTGGTGAACGGCTGTATGCTTATTACTGATGAAGGCTATAGCCAGGACGTCAGATTTCCCCAACCCTTCACTGAACTTCCCCTAGTCTCAAATCTTTCAGTTCTATTCGAAATACTGATAATAACTAATAGTACTCGTAGCACTGTTTTGAAATGTGTCAAGTATTAAAAGTTGGCATTAAAGGCTTGATCAGGCTCATTGACTAATCAAATACTTTCTGATTTACATCAGAAAACTTTTCAGACTGTATACTGTATTAGGTTTATGCAAAGTGGGCAGTTTGATATATTTTGTTGAAAAAAACAATAGGGTCATAACATGTTTATATTCCCCAAAGTAAGGTTTTGTGTGGGTCAGAAATCAATGCCCAGCTGCAGATCTTCATTAAATTCATTTTTTTGGCCTAAAGGTTGCAAAATTTAAGTAAATTGAGTCTAAACATACTAGCGTCGTTTTGAATTTTAGAACATGAACTCTTTTCACGTTGTTAAAATCCCCAAATTCCCAGAAAAAATACAGAAGACATGACCTCAGTGTCCTGAGTGGTAGCTACAGCCCCTCATACTGTACAACCACTGAATATTGGACATAGATAAAAGGCAAAAAATCTTCATATTCAAGGCCGAACAAAAAGTCTGAAAATTGATTAGATTGTGTAAATTTAGAATATGAAACTGGAATATTCTGTCTAGCACATATTTTTAGGTACAGAAGCGATTTAATCTGTAAATGTTTTAATTTAATGTGTTCTCTGCAGTATCAACATCTCATGCTGCCAAATAATCACTTCAGGGATGTCAGAGCCTCTTCTGAGTTTGATTTGGTTAATTCTGCAACAACATGACAAGGTGAGCTCAGATCACAGCAAAAACATATGAGGTGTTGCCATGGTTTCTCAGAAAGATTTGTTTGTGTGTCTGCATGAGTGTGTATGCATGTGGAGGGGAGTTTGATGGGTGTATGTGTGGATTCTTTTTTTTTTGGGGGGGTTACAGTGAATTAGTACCCAATGTCTCTGTCAAGCTAATTAGGGGAAAATGAGGCAAAAAGACAGCATTTTAATTGCTAATTATTATCAGAGCCTCTTTTGAAAAAATAATGAATGAGGGCTTCCAAAAAAAAATTAAAAGCACAAATGACAATAGCTGGAAATCTACTCCTGTTAGTAAAACCAGTGGGCAAGTGAATAAGCAGACCGAAAACACAGGTTGATGAGACATGTTTCTTAATTTTGTTGACAATCAAATCAGACAAGTGGATTGATTATAATTTACTGATCATTCAAAAAGAGGTGGGGCGATGGAGTAAAAAGGGTTAGGGGTAAAATAAATATAAAACAAAAATAAAAAAATCAACAATTAATCAATGATTCCCAGACAGTGTCAGGTCAGAGCATTAAGTGTGCTAAGCGCTCTCTCCTCTTCCCTCAATGCCCACCCCCCCATCCCCCCTCCTCCCCCCTTCTCTCTCCATCTCATTGTTCAGTCACTGTGGGACTAATTATCAACTTTTTTTCACATAAAACAGCCACAGCTCGTTGCAGCGCCGCGTCTGAATACTCAAATGGAAACCCTGAGGTCCCGTGGAATACATCGTTTCATTTGACGGGCGATCATGCTGAAGCCAGCGACCTAATGCAATAGCACACACAAACACACATACACACATTCATTCTCACTCTCACAGAGCCTCTGAAATCACCGCTGTGCTTTTTAATTAGACTAGATCTGCTCTGTGCTATGAGTGAGTGAGTGTGTCTGTGTGTGTGTGTGTGTCCGCATGGTCTTTCCTTTGCTCTTACACTGCCCCTTACAATCAACTTGCTCTAGGGACACAAACACACACAAACACACAGACACACACACAGACACACACACAACCTTTAGATACACATTCAATCATGCAAATACTCGCTCCATTACTTCACTCTGATCTCAATAATGCCTCACCGAGTGGACACTGTGATGTGAAAAATTAAACATCACATGGTGTCAAAGTTCAACATTCTCTGCAAGAGCAAACTTTGTTTATGACTTTAAGAAACAAAGAGGTAGAAAAATACTGCACTAGTATACTGCACGAGCCAGCCTGGTAATAGATCTTAGTTGGGTAAGACCTGAGACTTAGAAGCCAAAATTTAATAAAAAGTAAGTTAAGCTTTATTTGCTCAGATTTAATCTCTTGAAATGACTTTTGATAAAAATGTGTTAAAGTTAGGGTAAGTTCATGGTGGATGAAAATAAAAAAGTGTATAATAACAAATGTTTTATAAATGTTTTACAAATGATTTCCTGTTTGCCACATGATGATGATTTTAGCTTTATATTAACAACTTTTACTGAGATAGAAATCATTTGTAATAGAAAAGATAGAATAGTTAATGGACCAGCGTGTAGGATTTAGTGCCATGTAGCACTGAGGATGCAGAAACTGTAAGCCAGTGTTTGGTTGGTTTGACCGTCCTGGGCTACTGTAGAAAAATGGCGGTTCAACATGGCAGACTCTGTAAAAGAGGACCCGCTCTGTAGATAAAAACAGCTCATTCTAAGGTAACAAAAACACAACCTTTTTACCACCCCTATACCTTTATTTTCCATAATGCTATTTCCTCATAAAACTATCAACTATTTCAAGTCATGCCATCTTCATATAGGACACTGCTATAAAGGCAGCGGTTATAAATGGCAAAATAACACCATGGTCTCTCACATTACACTTCTAGTGCCCCAATCAATAAACCTCTCAGTCACATGCTGCCAATTCACTCGGCCTTTCAAAACTTCACAACATGTGTTTCCTGCTGGGTCCAAAAACAACACATAAAACTCTCAGGTCATAAACGGTTATTGAGTCAAGTGCTGTCAGTAAACTTGGCCAATTAAACGTGAGTGGAAGGCAAACTGGTCACTTCCTGTATAGGCGGGAATTAGAGGCTCGGCTCTTCCAATAGGGACTTTCACAGGCGTTTATACGAGTCTTATCAAAGCTGAAGCACCTTTTACTATAGCAGCGGTGCTTCAAAGAGCAAGTAGTTGAACCCATGTCCAGGCCAAGTCCTCTTTATTGCACCGTACTGGATTGTTATCAAGTCAACACTGTCCACT